AAAATACTTCATGATGCTTGACGGAAATCATTTTTCAACCTCGTGGAACTTTCAACCCGATTTCGCCTGCTAAGAATGCTTAAATGAAGATCCGAACGGGCTGTCGTACAACGATCGAGGTCTCTCGGTGACGTTTCCGGTCATCTGGAATCGATTCTATAATCGAGAAATGACACTCTAATACATTGTGTATGTGTGATGTGTGCAGTCACAGTTTGTTGTGATTGTACTGCTTGCAGCATCTCGACTGCTCGGCCCGGTCCTGCAGCTGTCATGTGACGTCTCATGAAAAAAAATACAATACCAATACTGACAGCTTGACTTTACATGTGATAAAAGACGTGGTTAATTTATTGTAATGGTAGACAAAAATAACATATTTATGATATTTTATTAAATCATATCATACAGCTATTTTATCCGTCTATGACGCGTCATTGGTGATGTTAACGTGGTAAAAGCTTTGGTTGGTTATCCAGGAAATGAAAAAAACGATGATTTATTTACAATGTGTCCACGACACCACAGCAAACCTCAATGGTTGATGAATACTCCAAAGCACAGTATGATTATTTCTGCATAGACGAACGGCTGACCGTGAACCTGGTCGGTCCTGATGCCTGACAATACTGCGTGGAAAACCACATGCCTGGTCCTGACACACTAAATAAAGCTGCTAGCCCGCGAAGTAAAGTTACAATATGTGAATTGACACAAATATTCAGATATATCTCCCATATTTCCATACTCCCTAACATCTAGCATAGCATTAATCCGGAATACTAATATAATTTATCTTAATTGATTAACAATGATATAAAATATCTGTTACAAATACTAAATATGTTTTAAATACGTAATAATAATGTGCTTTTGTAATTTATTCACGAAATAACATAACATCGCACAATACGCAAACTGACACCTCATTACTTCCATACATTTTCCACCCGCGCGCTTACTTACTGTGACAAAAGAACGAGGCTTCCATACTTTTATGAATACGTTAAACGCACGATACATGCTACATAATTAACAATCAGGTATGTATTTATAACCCATATACAATAGTAGTGATTTAACTTTAACTTACCACAGTCTGTCTTCTGTGCCTGTTCTACATGCTATAAAATAGTGGTAAATCCGTATCGGGTACACAAGCCAAATAAACGATGTCTTTTATTGTAAACTGCTCACCTCGTGCAAATCTACCCTTGACACATTTCCTCCCCACACCGGTGCCTAACTTTTAAGGTTACTTACCCCGGTAATGATGATAAAAAATACATACAAACAATAAATTTAATATATATTATCAACAATATACATGATTACATGACAGGTGTTAAGGGCCTAAATTTTAAAATAAGAAACAGATAAAAATTGATCAAACGAAAGGTCAAAATCTGGATGGGGTGGTACACTAGCCAAAACATTCTGTAAATTCCGTAAGTTCATATTGCTGATACTTTTAGAAAACGTCAAAATGTGTTTTTCTGACGCGCGTCACAATTCGAATGAATTAAAATATGGCAAGCAGGTTACGTCGAATATCGAAGGAATATCCGACCACCAGTGGTATCCTTCTTTCGTTTAATTACTTCTGCAGTGATCAATTGCGAGACGGCTGCTGAAGTCTTATTATTTCTCATGAAACATCGCTAAGATGTCATCAGATCAATTATAGCAATTCTTGGATTTGCTTGAGGTTGTAGTCATTGCAACAGCTATGGCCAAAGGAAGATGTAATCCACTGATGCGTGTGGAGAATAATTTGTAGAACAACAACAGGGAGAAGTTGGTGATTACTATAATTTTGCCGATTTCATCTAAGCTATCTGTTCAAACCGACTTTTTTACCATATAAATTAATTTTGATGTGGATATTTGTTTCGGTCGATTTTGATTTCACTCAGTCGACAACGCGGTTTTAAGATCTATGATTTTAGCTTTGCTGAAGAGTTCTAGAAAGTCGAGACAGCTGTAAGATTCGGGTTAATTCATTTTTTCCTCTGAAGTATCCTAATCTAAATCTGTACTGAAGATTATATTCTTTTGTTTGTCTTCCGTCCAATTGTTCATAATGCTTTATTTAGAATGCAGGATAATTAAACGAAAATGTCTATCTTTAGACAAAAGATCTCTTTCTTTTTCGTCCGGATTTATTTTTGTTTATCGAGTCTCTAACCTGTCCATTAAAGTAACGGTTGGATCTCAAGTAATGAACTGTAAAGCTGACCTTATCGTTTGAACCATGTGAATGTAAAATTTCGTTACTGATATCGGGGACCCAAACAAAGAGAAGAACATCATTTCCCGTTTTCGTCATACCTAAAACAAAACAAATACCAACATATGAACAAAAGAAAGATTTAAACGTAGACACTAGAAAGGGTACCAAGAGAATTAAGCCATGTTATTATTACAAATAAAGCCATGTGTAATTGCACGTTTCTAAATGTCATTAAGACTAAAGAGCACCAAACATGACCAGCTTCATATCGCATAAAGTAATAGGAGATCCCCCTTTAGGTCAGACCTTAAACCTGCATTTATGAAAACCCTGAGCGAGTTTATCCTTCAGTTGACATCTTACATAATTATAGTGATATTAGGAATGATTCACCGGATATCGAATGAGTTTGTGGGCATATACGACGTCAAGGTCGATAGCGTTTCGTTTGAACCTTTACTTAGGTAAGGAGGTAATTATAAAGAAGTTAGTGTGTTCGTCTGTGATAACATTGTGCACAATATTTTTCATGGGGCTCTGAACAGAGTAATTAAATATACCTTGGGATGTATATATATTTGATCCGCTGCTCACTTTAAAGGCAATACACTATATGTAGCACTGAAATTGACTTCATTATAAATTTATATTAAACCATACTATTCACTTGTAGGTAGTAGACACTGGTGGTAAACATTTAGACCTTAAGGTTTTACATTACCTGCAGGCCACGTGTTTAATACATTTGGCATACTTAGTGGCACGACTCAAAATACTTACATGAACTATCTGTTCTCTAAAATTATCTGCTATTCAAAAATTTATTCAACTGTGGGTTAGTGCAATATTTACTGAGTAGTGAGGCTGGTTCAATTTCCCATTAAGCTTTTCACATTTTTTGTAAATCACTTTGGATTTTTCTTGGTCAACTAAACCTCACCTTGTCAGTAAATCAAAACATGCTTTATGTAAGTGTACAGGGCCACTTATAAGAAGTTATGTCATCCATTATCACCGAAATGTCGATATAAAATAATCGACATGATGATTAAATAAATCAAAATCAATGATACAACAGATGAAGTTCATATTTTTAACAATTTCTCAATATATTCGACATGAGAAGCTGCCCTACATCTCCTACTAGTTCTACACAATTCATTATATGTATAGGATGTTGTTCCCGCAAGGTGTCCTGATTAGATTGTTGTTCGGCCATTTTAGTAGACACTTATTAATGAAATACGATACCTGAGACTTATAAGATTTGTAATAACGGAGGCGGGAGTATTAAATAACACCTATGTCTAACGTTAGGGAAATATTGTTATCAATCATAGCCTAAACAATCTTACCGAGCAAGCATTAATCTTTCTAAGATCGATCGGAGTGGAGTTCTGCGCTTAGACAACGCCAGTAGGTGGCAGCAGTGGTAATTTGTATTCTTATAAGCCAGTATGTTGATAATTGCAACATATACGTTGAGAGAATGGAAGAACTAATGTGACGTGTGACATCAATTTCATTTCAAACGAGGTTTTGAGGTTTTGAAAACGTTGGAAGTTGCGTTCTGAAGTATAAACGTCAAACAGCTAATGTGATTTTTAATGTTATGTTGTGAAGTAAAAATAATTCAACTATATAAAAAATAATGGCACGTGAATATTTTGGAAGTTTTGATCGTTTAATTTGAATTTGTGATTGACAAACTAGAGATGCAATGACACAGGAGACGGGATCTTTAAAAACTCTATTTAGTGGAGATCACCATATTTAAGGTATCAAAACATTATTTTCATTGAATTCTGTAGAATGTGATTGGATAACGAAACCATGTTGTTATTTGAACATTGAATACTTAAGACAAGAATTCCAATGACAAGGATGTTTGCAGATTTAAGACTAGTTTCGTTAATGAACTATTTATGCTTTCTATAATTTTGATGAAATAGCTTATGGAAATACATAAATACGTGATGTTTCATTGGTACAATTCAAACAAATATCTTTGATAATTACTAAAATATTATGAATGAATAATGTTTCTATTAGTTTACTTTGATTAATAACACCCAATATTACTCATCTCTTTCACAGATTTTGACGTTGGAGTATCACATGTTTACTTTTTCATTCGTTCGATGTTGTTTCCTTTACAGCTTTCCATTTATTGGTAGTGATGTTTCTGTAATGCTGGGCATTTGGACTATCCTAATCAATTTCATAGGTATGTATTTCTTCCAAGAATATACTCTATGAATAACATAATCTGACATTGGTTTAACCTCTTCCAGAATTTGATGACCATATATCCTAGTTGAGATTTAAACGTACTTAAACTTTAAACTTATGAATGCATGCGTTTCACAAAGCAGTAATTATCGATTATTTAAACAATAAATAAGACCATCCTTTTTGGACTTTATCAATTTACGACCATCACCAATTATGATTTAAATATTTATTTATTCGGAAAACTACAAACTAGTGGGCATTTGGCGTTATTAAAGCTAGTTTGGTAATTTTAAAATAGTTTAATTATTTTGTTTTCGTTGCTTTCAGAAAATTACCACTTGTGATTTATCGAGGCATCAAGCATGGAAAGTAATTGGTGATTTGCATCTCGTCGGAATATGTGTTACCAGTGAGAATAAAACATACCAAGATGAAAAATGTATTTTAAATGTGGTTAGAAAATTATTGATTTTTTACATATGTAAATGATATAACTGCTGTAGTGGTTGGATTTAAGTTATTGGCTACAGAAATGAATTCTACAGTTTTCGGTATTGAGTACATTGGGAGAGATAAGGTTGGGGAACATAAATGTATGTTTAACATCACTTCTGTCAACGACAACAGAAATCTTGCCCGAAAACTGGATCAAATATCAGCTGCAATTAATCTTTATTTTCCTCCTGTCTTGCTTGTGATGGGAACAATATGTAACTGTATTGTTATCAAAGTCATGCGCAGCATGTATTTCCGGTTTCTTTCGACTTCACTTTATATTGCCATCAACGCTTTTATAGATAATTTCAGTTTACTGTTCTTATTGACTGTTCATTGGATTAATGCCAACTTTCCATGGATAATTTACAGAGGAAACAACGCACACTTTATGTGTAAAGCATTCAATTTCTTCGGTTGGACCAGTAGTGATCTTGGGATTTTACTGACCGCCGCCATGACACTCGAAAGGAGCCTCGCAATCACTTTTCCACTAAAAGCTCAAAAATGGTGTAGTGTTTCGCGTGCTAAACACATGTCACTATTACTGCTTGTTTTGGCTGTGATTAAAGATGCTCATTTCCTGTTTACCTCTGGTTTGATATCGCAGAAACAAAAATACAAACTATGTGAGATTTCTTCAAGTAACAAGAATATGGTGATGTTCTGGCTTCGCATCTGGCCTTGGATCCATCATAGTTTTTTGTTTATAATGTTTACCGTCATCATTATCAGCAACATTATCATTCTCCGTCACGTCAAATTGTCTTATATAGTGCAAAAAGCAGCACATGTGTACCACAGAACCGGAAGCAAAAACATGGAAAGTAGGGTACAAGTGTCTTCAAATCCAAGATCCCGCAGACGCCAGATTCTACTGATGTTATTGGCGGATTCAATTACCATTATTATATGTACGTTGCCTTTTTCGATTTACACTAGTGTGACGTCAAATATTGTTATAGAGGAAGAGGAGGCTAAATCTGCGGATCTCCTGATCTATTCTGCTTCATTCTACCTTCTTTATATCAATAGATGTGCAAACTTTTACCTGTATTGTTTGAGCGGATCGAGGTTTCGTTTCGCTTTAAAATTTGTATGTACGTGTAAAAGAACGTTGTCTAATTCATATCGAATGAGTAGTAATGCACAGTCAGTACCTGATACTACTCATATCGACTGCCAAATGAATTCCATAGCTGACCTAGAGGATACATATGTTTGTAGAATGTGCGAGGGATGAAAATTCTCCAATTTGAATCTACCATTTACCATTTGGACAATACTGACTGACGAAAAATTTTCGCCACGTTTAAGTAACTGCTAGATGAATGTACGAACATTAATTGTATCTGGCAAGGGAATCGTGCCTTTGAGCATATTTTAGAAAGAGATAAATATATTTCTATACTTTAATGTTTTGTATTGATTAAAGCAAATAACAACTGATGTATGTTCTTTGGTTTATCTCTCCACCATTTTCTTTGATGCACATTTAGTTACTGATGCTCATTCGGTCATTGCATCAACATATTTGTTTACATATAACCATGTAACAACAATTATTATTATTGTTGCAATCTTAACGGCCCGTCAACACATAAAAGGCCATTAGGGCAATCAAACGGTAAAACACGCAGCGATCCAATAGGAAATAACATTAAACAAACCAAAAGGTAAAAGACAAATGTTAAAAATCCTCAATGGGTATTTAACACAAAAGATTAAAATGGTACGTATGTAACAACAAGCCACTTACTTAAATTTACTAATTTATTAAATTCTGATTCAAGTGTGCTCATCGAAGCTCGACATTTTTGTAACGAAATATATCATATGCATATATAGAGTCGGTATTGCTTCAAAACGTATCGGAAGTACTAATCTTTATGGGTCAATGACTTATCGGCTACTTTTCCGTACGTTGCAAGTATTTGTCTTTTACCTTGTTTGTTTGGTGATATTACCAGGTATGCTCTTTTCCATATCTTATATAGTATTAATTAAATCCTTCGTTACCTCTACCGATTTTGATATACATATTATATCGTCATATTCAAATAAAACATCATTATTTAAAAGTGAAGTGAAAATATCATTCATAATTATTGTGATAATGAAGTTACAAATGTCTTTCACAAACCAGAGAGAGAAATATGTCTGAAAACAAAGACACGACATACTTTTCTACATCAGTAGCTTATTTCGATCTTTTTCTACAACGAAACCAACATGGACAACTTTCCACTAAGCTGTATAACAAACGTGATGAATGCAACATCTCTGCATCCTCATACTATGATGTTTACATGTCGCAGTTGATTCGATATTCAAGGGTCTTTTCCCAATATCACGATTTTCGTGCAATAAGTCGTCAGCTGACGGACAAAATCTTAATACAGCGCAGGATTTCAAAAGATGTAGGTTGATGAAAATTTTAGGCAAATTTAATGGGATCAGTGAGAAATACTCCATTTGCTGGTGCGATATGAAAGCTGGACGGATGTGTTTGATGCTCGTTAGTTTGCCTGTTTGTTCAGTTGTTGTATACCTTATACCGGAACACCTGGTCTTATTCTCTTTATTCTTTTTCAGGAGTCTACATGTGAATCTATCTGTTTGTTCATATTTTGTTATAGATTTATGAAATGTGATTATGTTGACATGTTGGTATTTTCTTGATGCTTTTTGACATGTAGAACTCTTTGATCTATGACTTCCGATGACAAAATCAAGGCTTCCTATTCCTGTTGGAGATAAGCCTCAGCGAGGTATAATGAACCTCGGTATGACAGTTGTAGTTTTATGTGCATTATCTACTTCTCCTGTTTCTTACCCTCACTCTGGTCATCGTGCGACAATAGTGAGAATATCGAATCTTCCGTAACGAAATTATCATACGATGAGAGATAATGGGTTATTATTGCTAGACCATTACAGTCCTAATGATATTTTCGGAAAGGCAAACAAGAAAACAAAAGCATTAGTATTAATAGACTTCGATCAGATATGACGTCATGACTCTGCTTCTTGTCAACTCCTGTAATCAATCAACAGCTTTGCTTCTCTTGCGATTTTGCTCTACATGTTTGCTAAACTTTTTTGAATAAAATTATTTTAATCATAAAAGGCTTCTTTGTTAAGCTTGCATTATGAGGGCTTTCTTTCAAAACTTATGAAAGCTAAGTTACCAAAATGGTATAGCCGAAGTGCTATATTTGTTTAACATATTAGATGGAGATATCATGTCTTTCTCTTTCTGGTTATGTTCTTCCATTTCTAATGTCGTTTCAATATGTTAAAAAGTCCACCAGTGTTGATCAGGTCATATTTATAAGGAAAAATAAATTCCTTGTCAAAACACGATACTGCATTACCTTACTATAAAGTCATATAATTGCATTTTCATACTATAAAACTATATAATTGCATAACCTTACTATAATGTCATATAATTGCAATTTCATACTATAAAGCTATATAATTACATTACCTTACTACAATGTCATATAATTGCATTTTCATACTATAAAGCTATATAATTGCATTACCTTACACTGTTGAAAAGTCGTATATCCATCTACATCATTATTAGCAATAAATTAGGTTAGTTCGTCTTTGTAATCAAATTTCAAAGGAAGAGGATATATATCGTAAGGAGTATTGTCTTTAATGTTGGCAAAATAAAGTAAATGGATAACGAGATGGCTGAGTAGATCATCCTGTTATAAAAGTAGGTGGTTGTACTAAATTAATTGTTTTTTTCTACAGCCACATGGTATGGCGTTGTTTGTCGTTAACTTATATTAGACTTAAGATTTTTTAACCGCTCTTTTTTTCTAACACTTAATAGGCTTAACAATTAACCAGATAAGAAATTGTGCAAACAGTTTAATTTGACTGTATTTACAAAAAGTACTGACGCAGTTGTTTTTTTAATAATGTTAATCTTGTCCTGAGATCTCTCAGATTTCTACCAATTTCTTTCAAACTTAATCACCATAATACGATAAGAATTTGTTTCCCTGAACCGCAGTTTGACCTGACCGTATCTGGAAAAAGTGCTGCTCTCGTTGTTTTCATAATGTTCAACTTGTCCCGAGATCTCTCCGATTTCTATCGATTTCTCTAAAAAATAGTAGACTTAATCACTATTATATTAAGTTTTGTTTCCCTTAAAGTCAGTCTTATTCGACAATATTTGAAAGAATTGTTCTCGTGAATGTTCATCTTTTCCGGAGATCTCTATTCTTACTTTTCTACACAAATTTAATTTAAAATTTGAAGGCTTAATTACCATGACATGAAGTTACATTCCTAGTTAGATTCAACCGTATTTTGAAGAGTTCCTGTCGACAGTTCATTATGATAATCTTTTCCGATGATCTTGTCTATCAGTTTCCAGCCAATTTCATTCAAACAACGTGGGCTCAATAACTGTTTTGATATTGAAGTTTTTCCTACAGATTCAATGCAGTCTGAGTCAAACATTTCTGAAGGAGTTATTGGCACTTCGATTTTCTTATCACCTTAATTTTGTACGAATTCCGTCCCTCAGATTTCAATCAATATCACTCAAACTTGTCAAGCTTGATAATCATTACCGGAAATTGCCTTCTTCAGAAGAGTCATTGTTCTTTGTTTTTGTCATCATTTTTGTCTTGTCCAAATATGCTCTCTCAATTTTTACCGATTCCTTTGAACTCAGTCGGCATTGTAACCGTAATATGATATTGTGTTCTTGTTATCAGCAGTCTGATTCAACAATATTTCTATTGCCTTTTGTTCTTTTCAGCATTTCAATCTTGTCTAGTTTTCTTTTATCGTGTGTCAATAAATCTTCGTAAGCTTTGATTTATCATTTGAACATAAAGCACTGTTTTCCCCTCTGACTTATTATTACCATTTCCATATTTGCCACATTTTTGATACAATAAATCATGAAGACTGTTCCGCCTTTTTGAAACTGTCGCTACCAAATGCGTTCTGTAAGGATATTCGATTTTTATGTAACCTTAATCCGAAACTGACGTTGATCGCAAGTGAGAATTTGAAGCAGGCAGAATAAAAGGTATTTAGATTTCTGTAATAGTTTACTTGTTCCTGTCTTTTTAACATATATTGATAGCAGTACTACGTTTACAATGTGAAATATGCAACTATTTCCATCTTACCTATGCATTAAATATTGAGATTTTGATGTACAACTGAAATGGTTTCCAAAGGAGGGGACATTATGAGGTTCGTCAATCGAGGGATTCAAGCCTTTTGATATGAAGAGGACAAACTTTGTTATGGAGTTGGCTATGACAGGAGAGAAATGCGCCTGTGATCAAATGTAATTATCTAGTTTAGTTTTTAATCAATCTTTCCATCTCCGGGGGCCAAATTCACTCCATTCATTTAAGAGATGGGTTCCCTCTCCCACTGATATTTAAGATCATTCAGACTTTAATGAGGAATAGGATTATAAAAAGATATTCAACAAACCTTCTCTAGTCCCAAGAGGTAGGTAGACATTAACTTAATTTATTAACAATATTTCATTTATTAAGGCAATAAATGCCTCTTTCCAATAATGTCATTAACCGACTTTGGTTGTAGTTCGCCAAGGTTAGTCTTGTAAGCAAAGCTTGGGTTACTTTCCCTTTGAAATCTTGCTCACCTGTCACTGTGGGTCGAATCAACTTCATTAATTTAATAAATGTTCCCTCTCTCAATTATGTATCTGTTATGATTATTCGCGTCTGTATCCCCTTTCTTGTTTTATGAAAATCTACAAGATATTTCAGTTATTTTTACTAAGACATTGAACACGTTATTCACGCGACGGATGACCACGCATTTTATTACATTAGGGCGACAGTGAAGAAAATTACCATAAGGATATAAGACACTAAAGTTAGTGTAAATGTCGCCTTTGATGGTTGTAGGACAGGATTAGGTAATTTCTAGCAGTGGGCAATGTTAACAACGCATTATTTCATTTTACATACGGGTTCCTAATCCAAAGGCACATCTTGTCTTTGGATAAATCGAAATGTAAATGAAAGGACAGCTATCTAAATTTTGAATTTAATTCACGTGATAAGTGTTCGACATTTCTGACTCAAAATATGTAGCCATAGATTCAGTGACAACAAAGTTTAATCTGTAGATTTTATACGTCATGTCGTGCAAACATTATATCTTGTGTGAGACTTGTGCCTTGAATTGGGTTTACCTCGGATGAGATTTTCAGAT